AAGAGTTCCAAAATTGCTTTGAAGGGTGGATTGGCACTGGTGTTGGTGCATAGCTTCCCAAGGGGAGTACTTCGAAGGTAACCACAGTGATATTCAGCAGTGAGGTATGTAGCACTTTTTCTAGGATGAGTTCACAAACTTAATTGTCATACCTCATATGTGTATCTAAATATAGAAAAGGTACAGTAAAAACACAGTATAAAAGATAGAAAATGGTACTTGTATAGGGCACTTAACCATGAATGGAGCTTGTAGGACTAGAAAAGTTGCTCTGAGTCAGTGAGTGGTGAGTGAGTGAAGTCCTAGGACATTACAGTACTGCGTAGTGCTACGACTTTATGATGGCTGCATCACTAGGTGATAAGAATTTTTCAGCTCATTATAATCTTAGGGGACCACCTACCTATATATGGTTTGCTGTTGACCGAAACACCATTATGCAGCGCATGACTATCATTTTTTGTTAATTTCATTTTTTACCTTGAGGTTAGCTTTGGTTATTGTTTTAAAGCTCTATATTAGGACCTTAGAAATAAATGCTTTAAACTTAGCCAAGATAGGGCTCTGGAGTCCATCTGAGGAAACTGGACTTAGACTCTGCACTGCAGTCAAAGGTGAATGGAGACATGAACTCACAACAGTTATATGTTTCACCTCTGTCAGTGCTTTTGCATTTCTAAGCCAAAAAGAGTAAAAAAATCAAAACATGAAAAGTAAATTCAGAAGATAAAGCTAAAAATAGGACTAGTAACTCAGAATATTGCTGTCAATGTTAACTTTGTACTTCATTAGTAGGGGAACCTTCTTTATATTTTAGTTGGAACCTAGACTGATATTTCTGGAAGCTGTGTAATTAAAAGAATTACGGAAAGGGTCAAATAGAAGGAGAAATTAGGGCCGGCCGAATGGCGCGTTGGTTAAGAGCTGGCTTGGGACGCCAGAGGACCCCAGTTCGGATCCCACATATGAGGGCCAGTGACACTGCCCTCTACAGCTAAGAT